AATGAGTACTTTATCAACTGAACTAAAGGGTTAGCTTACCAGAAACTATTATAACATTAGTACTTTATCAACTGAACTAAAGGGTTAGCTTACCAGAAACTGCTATTAAAAAATGAGTACTTTATCAACTGAACTAAAGGGTTAGCTTACCAGAAACTATTAAAACATGAGTACTTTATCAACTGAACTAAAGGGTTAGCTTACCAGAAACTATTAAAACATGAGTACTTTATCAACTGAACTAAAGGGTTAACTTATAAAAACCGTTATTAAAACATGAGTACTTTATCAACTAAACTAAAGGGTTAACTTATAAAAACCGTTATTAAATCACGAGTACTTTACCAACTAAAATAATGGGTTATCTCACAAGAAACTGCTATTAAATTGTTAGTAAGGCACTTTTTTAACAATTGAAACTACCAAAACAATAAGCTGACATTTTCCAATTTTCTATCATCAGAAATTTTGAAGGAAATACAAACAACAACAACAATACTACTGTTAATGTTTCAAATTGTTAAATTTTATCTTCTCAGAAGACAGAGTACAGTCAACCGTAGGAAAAGATGATAAAATACATCAATACATGACAGGACGAATTGAGATTTTGTAACATTGCTAAGAAGGATGCTAATAAAAAAACTATATTTTTTAAGACAAAAACATGTCGATTACTCAAGATAAAAGACTTAGTAATTGTATATGGCTTTAGGACTAACCTAACTTAGTAATGGTATATGACTTCAGGACTAACCTAACTTAGTAACGGTATATGGCTTTAGGACTAAGCTAACTTAGTAATGGTATATGGCTTTAGGACTAACCTTAAGATAGGTTAGTCCTGAAGCCATATACCATTACTAAGTTAGGTTAGTCCTGAAGTCATATACCATTACTAAGTTAGGTTAGTCCTAAAGCCATATACCATTACTAAGTTAGGTTAGTCCTAAAGCCATATACCGTTACTAAGTTCTAATAGTATATGATTTCAGGACTAACCTAACTTAGTAATGGTATATGGCTTTAGGACTAACCTATCTTAGTAATGGTATATGGCTTTAGGACTAACCTATCTTAGTAATGGTATATGGCTTTAGGACTAAGCTAACTTAGTAATGGTATATGGCTTTAGGACTAACCTAACTTAGTAACGGTATATGACTTCAGGACTAACCTAACTTACTAATAGTATATGATTTCAGGACTAACCTAACTTAGTAATGGTATATGGCTTTAGGACTAACCTATCTTAGTAATGGTATATGGTTTTTAGGATTAACCTAACCCCCTTATATTAGTAGGAACTCAAGAGACACTATAAGGATTATGGCTGAAAATATCTTCAACAATGATGGTACCCATCAAATGAACCAGTGAATTCTAATAATTAGGTGTTTACTAACTGACACAATAATTTCCAGAAGAAATAATGTTACATTTCTGCTGTTGTTTACCCTTACCAACAAACATACTCTGCTCCCAGTTTCTCTTTCACTGCAATATTCTGTATATCACATCAAAGTTGTTAAAAAAGTGCCTTACTGGGAAGCACTAATGGGCTAAAACTCAAGGTCAGTTGAAACAGGACTCACTTGTAGTGCAAGCGATCCCAGGTTTAAATCCTGCACGCGGGAGATCCAAAGAATTTAAGGTACCAAAGAAAACCTGTAGCCCAACTAGCGGTGGTTCCAGACGGATCCTATTTGTGAGAGGGTAAGAACATGGTAGTTATATTTGTGAAAAAAGCGTCTTCCTAGCAACTGTTAGTGGGTTAACCCTACACAAGATGTCTTGGCTCCAGGATACTTAAAAACTACTGAAGATTAACACACTCGTTCTTTCCAATCTAATATTCCAACAGTTTTAAGTCACTGAGCTTATTTGTTATTCATTCTGATATATCTCTTTATAAGTTCTACATTTAAACAACAGAGGGGTATGTGAAAAAACAAACAAACCTATATCGTATTTCAGTGTAATTCTAAACATACTCTTAATATTATGGTCTTAAAATTTTTTTATATATAAATTTCATAAATTGAGATCCTATGATTCACAATGAAATAATTACCAATAGTTTTGATATCAGTTTGACAGTAAGCTGGAGAAACTAGAAACAAAAAATAATTTGAAATACATGTCTAAGAAATTATACTTCCAGTTTGTCAAGTCACAATCCCAACCTCCAACATTTAAAACTATGTTATTTTATTCAAGTTCAATTCTGTACTGAACTAAACCAAGAACACTTGAAATATAGAACAAAACTAAACTGAATTTAAAAGCTTTAAATTACTTATATTTTTACATTCAGCTACTAGAAAGCTAGTGATTCTGTGCTGCAATATAGTAATTGAGGCCTAGCATGGCCCGGTGGGAGGAAGGGTACTGGACTAGCAAGTTGGGACTTTAGTGATAGACTATAGGGAAGGCAGTTATCACCACCCACCGGCCAACTCTTGGGCTACGTTTTTACAAATGAATATTGATATAACGCCCCATGGCTGAAAGAGAGAGTATGTTAAGTAATGGGATTTGTACCCATGACCCGTCGAGTGGCATTGCACGAAATTCAACAACAACAAAAATATCGTAATCTTGTTGGTACTACATAGTAATATTCCATTGACTACTACACAGGTTATTGTGTTCTTTTATTCCTACGTTATGTCAAATATCTTCATGTATTTGTTTACTTGTACGTATTTGCAACTACCATCTACTTTTAGAAACTGAAATACATTTATTTTTTTTTAACTAGATTAATGTTTGTATACCTAAATATTACTGTCGCCTACATGTCAGAGTAAAAGAACAGGCATTAAACAGACTTTTTGACATAATGTTGATTATCAAAAGTACCTAAGGTACGAAACATGTCCAATAATTAAATCTATTCTTCTAAATAACACTAAACACGGTTAACAGACGTACTTACCAGTTGAACTATAAGATCACAATAACACTAAACACGGTTAACAGATGTACTTACCAGTTGAACTATAAGATAACTATAACACTAAACACGGTTAACAGAAATACTTACCAGTTGAACTATAAGATAACTATAACACTAAGCATGGTTAACAGACATACTTACCAGTTGAACTATAAGATAACTATAACATTAAGCATGGTTAACAGACATACTTACCAGTTGAACTATAAGATAACTATAACACTAAGCATGGTTAACAGACATACTTACCAGTTGAACTATAAGATCACAATAACACTAAACATGGTTAACAGACATACTTACCAGTTGAACAATAAGATGACAGTAACACTAAACATGGTTAACAGACATACTTACCAGTTCAACAATAAGATGACAGTAACACTAAACGTGGTTAACAGACATACTTACCAGTTGAACAATAAGATGACAGTAACACTAAACGTGGTTTAACAGACATATTTACCAGTTCAACAATAAGATGACAGTAACACTAAACGTGGTTTAACAGACATATTTACCAGTTCAACAATAAGATGACACTAAGCAGATGATTCACAGATGTACAGTATTTTTCCAAACTCATTGTTTAGCTCTAGTTTGAGCCAGGCATGGCCTAACAGTATGTTAGGCTGTGAATCTGAGAATTCCTGTTTTGCTACACAATTGAGCTGTGCACTTTGGGGCATTGGTTGCATTATAAAAGTGATAGTCATTCCCATTATTTGATAAGAGTAGCCCAAGAGTTGTCGGTGGTTGCTATTGATGATATTTTTATGAGACACTAGAATCATGATGGTTTTATTCAACACCACATATTCAACGTATTTTTAGGGGGGGGGGGGTTGAATATTCACACGAAGCTACAAAAGAGCTATCTGCACTATTCATCTCTAAGGCAGGTAGTCAATAGCATCCACCACCATCTCTTGGGCTACTTTAATAAAATTGTAGAACTTGACTGTTAATCTTATAATACACGCATGGCCCCAAAGTGCAGAACGAGATACTGACAAAGTGAACATGAACCATAATTCCTCACATTCATAGTCCAACACCCTAACCACTCGGCCTCTACTCGTAAGTAAACGACTTACAGAAATGTAATGAGAAAATATGAAGTATAATTCGTAAGTGTATAAAACAAATATACAATGTATAATTGTAACTACTCCAAATGGGTTTCAACACAATTTTTCATTAAATCAGGAATTGGTAAGGTACTACATCTATTACATGTTACTTACAAATTTGGATCAGTTATCATCATTCCTTCTTTAGATAATATCTTAAATTATTCTTATTCATGCATTTATTCAGATCAATTTGTGATACCAGTTTTTGCTCAAGTAAAAGAACAACAAAACTAACAATGACTCAAAACAAACTCGTAGAAAATATTTAAGATCTTGTTTTACTTGTCTTGTGCCATCTGTTGTCAGTTTACTTTTTAAAAAAAGCATTATGTTGCTTCACTATGAATGAAATCAACTTTAGTTTAGTATTAAGCATAAAGATACACAAAGGAATTTATGTGCTGTTCCAACAGCAGGAATCGAAACCCAATTTTTAGCATTATAAATCACTTTCTTACTTGTAATATCAAAGGTAACAACACATAGAACTGAACCACTCTGGTTAAACAAGAAAGGAAACAATGTGTTAAATTACTTTTCTTACCTGCAACACCTAGGGTAGCAGCATATAGAACTGAACCACTCAGGTTAACCAGGAAAGGAAACAATGTGTTAAATTACTTTTCTTACCTGCAACACCTAGGGTAGCAGCATATAGAACTGAACCACTCAGGTTAACCAGGAAAGGAAACAATGTGTTTAATTACTTTTCTTACCTGCAACACCTAGGGTAGCAGCATATAGAACGAACCACTCTGGTTAACCCCACTCTGGTTAACCAAGAAAGGAAACAATGTGTTAAATTACTTTTCTTACCTGCAACACCTAGGGTAGCAGCATATAGAACTGAACCACTCTGGTTAACCAGGAAAAGAAACAATGTGTTAAATTAGTTTTCTTACCTGCAACACCAAGGGTAGCAGCATATAGAACTGAACCACTCTGGTTAACCAGGAAAGGGATCACATACTGGAACAATTTTATAATAACAATAATTATTATTATTTGCAGTTTATAACTATCTATAATGAAAAAAGAGGCACTAAAATAAGAACATTTTTGATAGTTGTGGCTTTAATTATTATTATCATTATTTTTTAACATACACAAATTCATCAAATACATGTACAAATATATTTAAAACAAATTCAAACTGAACTATTCCAGCTCTAAGTTTTACCAATGACACAAGGTTAATTATGTTATATACAGCAAAACACTAGTAATATAAGGACAACAAGGTTTCAGTTGGTCCTTCAAAGCTGTATTTGCATAGTCACCCTTCAAAAGAGCTAAAATTTAAACCCACCCTTTATTTTTTAGGAAATTATCAATTCCCCTCTTAAACTCTTAAAGTTCTGGCCTCCACTACTGCTGAAGGTGACTCATTAAAAAGACAGAAACCATGTTCGAAAAATAAAACTGTATTAAGTAGAACCTAGCCTGTCTTTCCTGAATCTTACACTTGTGTCCTCTCATCCTATCATCTTCAGAATACAGCACAAAATAAATTAGAGGATTTTATCCTCTTGATCCCTTGTATGATTTTGTAAACTTCAATTAGATCACCTCCTACCCTTTTTTTCTCCTATCTCTGTCAAACAACCCTTCCATCCCTGGAATCATCCTCCTCTGAACACTTTCTAGTAATCAATGTCCTTTCTTAGAACCAAAATTGTATATAATATTCCAATGAGGCATAACTGGTAATTTGAAATGGGGGATAATTACTTCTTTTGACTTGTAACCTATATGTCTATAAATATATCCTAATATTCTGTTAGTTTTACTGTTAATAACTGAGCACTGCCTTGATGGCATCTATATTATGTGATCCAAATGATAACCAAAATGCATGACTTTACATTTACTATAGTTAAAGGTTATATATTTGTTCAAGTAATTATGTAATACCTCAACTTCCTCAATACAGCTAGAAATACTTGAATTTACTACCATCAGCAAACTTTAATAATTATGTCTGTATCAATGTAATTAATGGAAACTGAAAAAATAAAGCCCCCAACATTGACCTCTGGGGCATTCTACAGGTAACAAGGGTCCAGTCTGACTGAATTCCACTAATAATAACCGTTCGTGTCCTCTCATTCTGCCATCCTACAATCCAATGAACTTTATTAGCATACCACAATACAATTAGTTCAAACACTAATTGGCCACAGTTGTATGTCATATGTAAAGTGTAGTTAAAATTAGAGACAAAAATTAACAGCTAGAAGTATAGCACTGGCTTATTCACATGCCTCATAACTAATACATACATTGTCTCTAACAATCAAAAGAACTTTCTAACAGAACATATTACTTGGTGTACCTACCCGCCAGTTTGTAGCCAGGAACCACAGTTCGGCTAACCACTGTTTTATTGCACTGTTACACTTTACGTGCTCAATTCCTACACTTCCCTGACGTAGCCACGGTGTTGACAACCCCCACAATGCTGACACTACTGTAAGTAGTGCCACTGACTCTAGAAATAAACATTATCATAAAACATATATATCAATATTAACTTCAATAAAACATTGTGATAAGACATACTTCTGTACAGATACTGACTTCAGTATAACACAATTAGACATAATTATGTACAAGTATAAACTTTAATATAACATTATGATAACACATGTATTTGACTACAGATATTAACTTCAATATAACATTATGATACACAGGGATGTAGTGCTGCCTGAGAACATTAGAGATCCACTCTGGCAGCTGAAATTGGAGCCAAGTTCCAACATTTCAAAAACTAAAAATAGGTATATAAAAATAAGTTATTCAGTTTACACCAGAAATTGTCTTTCATAACCAAACTCTCAAGACTATCAGAGAATACTCTGGTTATTTGTGATCCTCCATTTCCACTGGGTGAACTCTCTCAGACTGCCCAGCACACACTCAATTACTTTCCCTCAGGAGATGGCATCAGGCACCATGCAACTGTTCCGACTTAAGAGGTGTCAGAGTATAAAATTGTGGAATGTTTATTTGCCATATATCACAAGGTTATTAAGACACACAAATATGGTATTAAAACACTTAATAAAATATATTAGAAATTATACTGTGTGTTTAAAACAAACACATTTTAACAGGCTTATTATTTGCATAATATAAACAAAGACTGCCTTATTTTTTTAAGTTATTCATGTTTTTAGGACAAGTGGTGTATAAAGTATTATAAAAGTCAAAGTTATTGATACTGTATTGCAGTTAGAAATAAAGTAAATTAATAAAATATGCATTTTTAAAAACTTCATTTCATACTGGTGATTTTTATATGATACCCAGTCATTTTCTTCTTTGTTGCTTTATTTAAAGGAAGCTGAGTTGAATGGTTTTTCTCACTAATATGTCTATTCAGTTCAGTAATAAGGTGAGTAGTCACAAATAAATAATGCTGCATATATCTTCATTATTAGATTTTGAATATGAGATGTTTAACCTGATGGTGACATCACGCATCTGACAAATTTTGACAAGGTCCCAGCTATAAAATTTAGAACTATGCCACTGACTATAATGTTACAAAAAAGACAAGTAACTATGTACAGGTATTGATTTTAATATATCATTATGATAAGTACAGCTGAGTGATGATCAGTGCAATTTGCTAATTGATTGATCACAAGTCATATTAATGGATGATTACATTCACCTACTTCATTATTGATCATAAGTCATATTAATGGATGATTACATTCACCTACTTCATTATTGATCATAAGTCATATTAATGGATGATTACATTCACCTACTTTATTATTCTCATATGAAACTTGAACAGTAAGATTAATTAAAAACTAATTTCAATAAGTGGATGATTTTTTATGTGGCATTAGTTGATTTAATTATAATTTTGGTTAATCAGTCATTTGACCCAACATTAATAATTAATCTATGAATTGAGTTCATTACCCATCTTTAATGATAAGACGTGTATTTCAGTAAAGATATTAAAATTCATAATTATAATGTGCTTCTGAACAAAAATGTAATATTCCGTTTTCTACACAAATATGATTTCTTTTTAATACTAGTTTTATAGTTTCATAAGCAACTGTTCATCTTTATGCTTTCAAAGTTTTAATACAAAATTAAAATACTTCAACAAAATACGTTTACTATAATCAAGAATATAAACTTACTACACAACACTCATTAAATGTATCTAACTTAATCTTGAGAAAGTAACTCTTAAGACACAGCTTAAATATGAAAATAAAATATTGACCTCTATAAAACACAAACAATATTTTTATCAGCTATCTACAGGGAGTGATATGTTGAATCTTCGGTGGAGGAAAGATAAACAAGACACACCATGGTAAGCCTTGATATATCATATGCGAACATCTTTATTTAAGTGAACCAACAATTTCATGCATTTACTTTTTTGTTTTAAACTTAATTACTTTTAGTATTTTTACCTACAAATGTGGTTTAATAACGGGAAAAAGATGTTAAAGTTTTTATTCGGCTGACAATGGTTTCCATGTCAGTAATTTCTGTTGGATCTTTGGTGTATTTAAATATGCAAATTTCAGTCCACAGATATTGCTCAGAACTCTCAATTGAAGTTTTTACCACATTCTTCATAGTAGAAGTGGCTTTTTTTGTTTGCTGCTACTGTAACCTTCTTTTATCCAGTTAGAAAGAGGCATACAATGCTTCAGAATGTATTATTATTTAGTGTTGAGTGTATGTTTGCCTAGATACAAAGCAAGGCACTGGATGAAATATGGAATGATTAATACTTAATTTATTAACCCAGTTAAAAAGATTTGTCAGCATTCCTATTATCAGTTTTGTTTTTTTGGTGAGTGCTATAACCATTAAAATAAAGGTCCCACGAAAAAATTGTTATTGAAGTAGCAGATGTTTAAAATTTCCATAAGAAAAATATTGTAAATTAAATTCAGAATCTGTTATCACAGAGTTAAAAGTATCCCTCTAGAATGACAATTGAAAGGTCAGTCCTAGAGATAAAAAAAAGGAGCAGAGCCAGAGAAATCCCCCCCCCCCCTCTCAGCAAATTATAACCTGGTTCTTTGCAAACACAGGCACAATAATTCAGTTTCATAGAACATAGTTAAAATAAAGATGGTTTTTGGATTTCTTATTACACAAAGCATTTTGATAAAACAGTCTTGTTTGAAATAACACACTGGGTGCTTAGAATAATAGTGTTTCAAGTCGTATACAATTGATTGAACTGAAAACTAAAATGAAACCAGAAAGTCAGTTTGTCCAGATCAAATAAAATAAAACACAAAAGAAAAGTTTTAAGCATTATGAACAAAAATAAAGAAACTAAGAGGAATATATAACTATATAATAGGGTAAAAAAAACAAAAAATGTAAGAATGAACCTAAACATTTTTTTATGTATTTTATTTGTCCTAGCTTCCTGGGTTATTTTTCCTATATTTTTTAACCCACTATTAAGTCATTTTTTGTTTTTAGGTCTGTGTTTTGTATCTCTTTTTGACTACTTCTGAAAGTTGTTTTTATTATTTTTATTATAATCACTCTTTCTGGTTTTGGTAATATAAAAGAACTTTGAAATTTTTCAAAATTCAGAATGGTCTCAACAGGTTATTAAATCATATTTTAATCTTAATTTTTACAAAACCATGTCAATAGTTTTAAACACTAAGCTAAAAATCATTATTGGCTACTTCCAACAGAGAACACCTCAACATGTTAAAAAAAAGGAACCATTTGATCCTTCAATGCAGTCTTTGCACAACCATCCTTGAGAAAAGTAAAGAATTTAAACTTGTCCCTTATTTTTTCAGTAAATCATTGATTCCCCTCTTAAGCTCCACTGAAGTGCTGGCCTCCATACTGTTGACAGTATCTTGTTCCATAAACCAACACTCTATTAGAAAAATAAAGTGGAGCCTTATGTAGTTGAACTTGAGGTGCAGATTTGGTGTATCTGAATTTTCAGAAACAAGATAATGCCCATGCAATATACCATAATTTGAATTACAAGTATAATTTCTATGGAGTAAATTTAATAATATAATGGAAGAAAAGGATCTTAGTGTTCTGGTTGATCAATATATTGAACCATCCTAGCATTGTGTTGTTGTTAGTGGCTGAGAAAATGGATCTTATGTTGTATCTACAGAAATACTGAATACCCCCCCCCCCCCTCTCATGACCTTCCTGATGTCATCCTGTATCATTGTGGCAAGTTTGATGTTGACTGGTCACGAAACGCACAACTTAACTTAAACTTAAAATCATAAATAATATTTAACGTTAAACTGGTACACAAATAAAAACATTTTATTTAGGCCTATCTATGGCCTTCAAAAAGTTGACGACGCTACATGTTTCGACGTTACAACGTTACTATAATTAACTTAAACTGTTAAAGATACAGACGGCTAAAAGGTGCGGACAAACAGCCTTAAACTTTAAAGTAACATAGCTTTATATATTAGATAAACTAACTTGCAGAATTTCCTCGTTAATTGATTGATAACAAATAAGCTAATCGAATAGTAGACAAATAGACGTACTAACCCTCACTTTCTAACTCATAACATTAACATGAACTGAATCACTTAATTATAATATTAATAATTCACTGAATAATGCACTAACTCATTTTTATAGTTATTCGTGTTTTGTTTTCCCACTAATATAAATAATATATCGTGCACAAAGTTACTAGATGTTACGTTATAATGATATATAAAACAATCCCCCTAGCAAACAAAGATTTAAATCAAAATATTAAATATATAGCCTAAAAGTAAAACAATATATAGCCTCACCCACATAAAATTAAACCTTACCAAATTGTACCATAGGCCTAATCCTCCTTAAGCCTAAACTTTAGATGAACTAAAAGTTGGAAGAATACGGTAACTTGCCACCACCCTACAAAGTGAATACTGGCAACACCAAAACAAAAGATATAATATACAATAACTCAAATTTTCAAGTTAATAACAATTTGCATAAAGGTTTATATATATTGCACTTTTCGCAACATGATAAGACTAAAATTAGATAACGTTATAAATTTCTTTTGATATACACTTTTGTAATTTATACTCTATGCTACGTTGTATAAGGTGTGAATTAGTCGGCAAATAAACTTGATGAGTTTGTCCCTTATCCCCCTCACAACACTCTGGTCGTTTGTTTATTGGTATATAGAGGTCAAATGGGTGTCTAGAGATGAGATATTCGGATCCTATTCGATGAATATAAAGATAAGCTGTACACGATAAAGAAGATTACAGTTCCACCTTGTTTTCATACTCGATAAAAAGTGAAAATGAACCTTTACGACAGAGGCGTACGCTAAGCACTGGTACACAGGGCCCGCACCCCGATTCTATTTAACAGTGGCCCAAATCTAAAGTTGGTATATTGAAAAATCAGAATAAAAACTATGATTAATATTATACTGAAACGCCAAAAGTTCCCGCGCTTATGGGCCCGAGCCCCGAATATTTTAAGCACCTAGCGACGCCTCTGGTTTACGAAACCCTTGTATTTGTTTTTTTTTTAATTTCGTGCAAAGCTATTAGAGATGGCTATCTGCACTAATAGTCCTTAACTTAGAAGTGACAGATTGCAGAGAATGTAGCTAGTCGACACCACACACCGTCAACTCTTCGTCTACTCTTTACCAACAAATAGTAGGATTGACCGTGATATTATAATGTCCTCACGGCTGAAAAGGCGAGCATGTTCAGTGGTGAGAGAAACTGTTGTAAGTTACGTATATGATGTAGTTCCATACGTAAAAAATAATAAATTAAATAGCATAAAAAAGACATGACGTATTTTGTTTTTGGGTAAGAATAACAGCAATAAATTTGCCATTATAAAGTACGCATTTTGTTTCAATTTCAATCTTAATTTTAGTCGGTATGAATTACCTACAACATTGGTGTAATGAATTTATCGCTGGTTTGACAGTAAATATTGCACACGCATTAAAAATTTACTAGTGATCTTTAAATGTAACAATAAAGCTCATAGCGTTAATAATATCAATGCTATTAAACATATTAATATCAAAACAGATGAATTAAATGAACAATAGATTATGAATTACAAAAACAAATATATCGTTATTGATGCTACTATGATATGTATGACACAACCACTCAGTGCTGCCATCTTGGCTGCAAAACAAAAATTAACCTGACAAATATTTTGATTTTGTGATATAACTCACACTATACATTCTATTTCGGTTCAGTAGCACTCTTAAAAATGCATACGTTGTTTCTATGATATGGCAGTTATTAAGTCCGAAATTTTATAGTGCTGAAGCTCTGCCAAAATGTGTCAGACGTATGATGTCACCATAAGAGTAAAGTTGTCATATTCAAACCTTGTTTCCATTATTGTGAGGACGTATGATGTCACCATAAGAGTAAAGTTGTCATATTCAAACCTTGTTTCCATTATTGTGAGGACGTATGATGTCACCATAAGAATAAAGTTGTCATATTCAAACCTTGTTTCCATTATTGTGAGTTCATTTTAAATAATGAAAATATATGTAACACTAATTATTCTAGACAGCTTACATTAGTACTAAATTAAATACCCATATATTATCGAGAGTAAACACGTGACTCACCTTACTTTGAATTAAGCAGCACAAAAAACAAACAAACTCGGTGCCATATGAAAATCACTAACATTAAAACAAGTTTTTAAAACGCATATTTTATTAATTTATTGTCTCTCTAAGTACACTACAACTATTAGCAACTTTGACTATTATAATTGTTTATATACCTTGTCCCCCAGTGGCACAGAGGTATGTCTTCGGAATTATATTGGTATAAACCGGATTTCGATACCCGTGGTGGGCAGAGCACAAATAGCCCTTTGTGTAGCTTTGTTCTTAATAACAAACACCAACCAACGCCCTTTAACACCCAATGTCATGCCAACACGAATAACTAAAAATAATTACCTTCGTTATATTGTATGTACATGATAAGACTTTTAAACCGTGTAAAGTTTGATGCTCTAATACCTACTGTTGAGATGCATTCGTCGCATGGTGCCTGGAGCCAGCTCCCGAAAAAGAGTAACAGAATGTGTGCTAGACAGTCTGAGAGAGCTCTACCAGTCAATAAGGGAGATGACAAACAGTCAGAGACTGGTCTTGAACACTCTGAGAGTTTGGTCATAAAAGACATTTCATTTCGGTGTAAAATGAATAACTTATGTTTTATATACATATTTTTAATTTTTGACATGTCGAGACTTAACTTTAGGTGTCGGAGCGATAATCCAGCAGCACTACACTCCCGAATCCTACAGATCACACTGTATTTAAAATGATCATTATTATAATTAAATATACGATTAATTATCCTTTTCACCATCTTCCATTTAAAACGATCAATACTAAGTTATACGTTCATCTTGTATCTTCTTATAAAAACAAATGAAGGCATTATGTGAAATATTTTGATATGTTCATTTGTAGTTACTTGCGTTTTTGTAGGTGGAGGTAACTGTAATCTTGAAGTGTTAGAAAATAGTCCTTATAGACGTTTACACATAGTGAAATTAACACAGTTTTGTTTAACAAGAGAAAAACGTTGTATATGGAGAGAGAAAAAGGCATTACGTCATTCACAAACAGAGATATAATTTTAGAATACTGTTACGTCTCCGTGTGTTAATTAATTTTCCCGTAACTTCGTTTCGACAAAACTTAAGCGACACAAGTT